ATAAGTTTATGTTGAACTTAACTGTTGATAGATTCCCTTTTATTGTCTCACCTGTCCTGTTTTATTATTTCGGCTATTGACAGCACTATTTGAAGACATCTTGAGGAGCCGTCCCCATGAGTATTCAATACATCCTTACAGTAGGATCTTTGGCCGAGATTTCGCAATCTAAATAATTTGCCACAAGCAAACAAGCACTCTACTCTTATGGTACAAAATAAACACTTGGACTTAACCCCCTTAGCCTTCGTTGAACACGAAAACTTTGCCAATATACTGACAGCAGTTCCAGTTGCCAGTTTGCAGTTTGCAGTTTGCAGTTTACAGTTTGCAGTTTTCAGCTTTCAGCTTGGCCCCGCAAACTAATACCCCCTCGATCCTCGACCTGATGACCGCACGCATGCTAAAAGTGTGGTCGCCACCACCCAAAAAGGTGTGGCGGCGTTGGTGATGGTGGTGCTCCGGTGACTTTGTGGCCCCGCAAAAAGTTCCTGGCCGGAGTTTGTTGTTGTCGGCCGTTGTTTTTGACAGAAAATTGCAGGAAAACCTGTGTGGAGAATCTCCTGCTGAGCGAAAGAGGGCCAAGAAGCAAAGAAGCCAAGAAACCAGGAACCACTTCTCTTGGCCGCAACGCAGTTATGCAATCACAAAGTTGCTGCCATCGTCTTTGCCACTGATTGAAATTCCTTGGCCAGCTTTGCGTTGGTCTGCCTATAATAATTTTCATCATCATCATCATCATCATCTGCTGGGAAAGGGGATCACAACTTCAACCTGGATAGTTTTCATCTGAGCTCTGATTATTATTATTATCAAAATCAGACTCCGTTCTTCCATCCCAGCTGGATGTCCGTCATCTGCAACTAATATTGTCAGTGGTCAGTATATATTTACTCTTAGTTTCTGGCTATACCTTAAAGTTGTTATCTATTTGGTTGAGAAACATGTAAGATGTTAAGAAATTTAAGATGTTCAAAACTAGCTTGTGAAGTCTGGAAAGTATAGTCTTGGCAGTATAGAATCTTTAAAATTGATTTACTTGTATATTCTAGGGTATCAAATGTTTCTACTTCCTGAAAATAAAACCCATACAACTTGCTCTAATTATTGTTGTTGCTGTGGATACAATAAAGTCTGCTGCTCCTGAGCTTTCGCCCACAGACTTGCCAATATTTTGCTTCTGCATTTATTTCAGCATTGCAATTGAGGTTTTTGATTAGTTTTTACTTCCTCATTGCAATGGGGAGCCATTGATTGCGTATTCTTATTGTTGCCAAGTTGTGAGCTGCTTGGGAATGAAATCTTCTCCCTTTTAATATCTCGAGAATGTGTTGTATCTATCTATCAACTTCAACAAAGGATTAGGGTGAAAAAAGTATGCAATGATAATAAGCCTGTGGGGTTGCTGATATGAACTTTGTTAGTGGTTTGTTAATATGGAGGAAACTTATTTATCAAATTAAATTAAAGGAAATGTGTTATGTGGAAGGAAATGTGTTATTTTCTAGGTATTTGTATAGAAAGCAAACATAAATAAGTTTATATAAGGAAATGTACCTTTGAGAACGTTTTTATAAACTAATGAGCATCACAGAAAAAATTTTAGATTTATTTTTATTTGGTAAATCATCCAGGCAAACTGCCTAACATTTTGTATAAAGAAACTTATTTTTACTTGATTTTTACATTTAAAAAAATCGAATTTGATTTTTTATGTTGCATACTTTTAGGGCAATCATCTTCTAACAGCACTTTTAGCTCTGTTAACAGACTTCTCCGCTGCTGCAAAGCTTTATTTGATTTTCCATTTACGACATTGTTCTGGGACCCGCTATACTTTTCACACTTTCCCCCAGACTCTCTACAGATATACCCTGTTTAGTTTTCCCAATGCAGCTAAGTTATGACTGTTTGCCCTGCAAGTACGTGCTGGCGACTTCTTTCTTTTTCTGATTGAATAGATTTTCAGTTGGTTTCCTGTTTGTTTGCGGTTGTCGCCTGGTAAGTGTTAGAATTTTTATTTTTTTCTTCTTATTTTTTTTTGTTGGCCTGCCAAAGGCACGTTGAAATCCCAGTCTAGACGAAGTGAAGGTGGCAAATATTTGCCAGTCCTTTACCTTTACCTATTTGCGGTTTTTTAAGGGGATCGATTTGCCAACCGCAGGTATTTCCGCCCATTAGCGGGTTAAGCGACTCGGAAACTAACCCTTGTCAAGTCAAACCACTGGCTTTTAATATTACCAATGGCTTAGGAGAAGTTTTAAGCTATATAGTAAGGGAAATTAACAAAGTGATTCTGCTAATACTCTTAAAAAACAGGATTGGTTTATTTTTTTTAGCATTTTCCTGCACTTTTCGGTGCAATTTCAATGCCATTCATGGAATGTTCCCTCACTTTTGTGCCAGAGTTTCCTGAATTTCCCAACCTCCCTTGATCTTGCCTTATCTTTGTGTGCTTTTGACATTTTTGCGTTCATTTTTGTGTGACAAGTTTTCTGTGGTTCAGTGGGGCCACTTTACGGCATGTCAGCTTCAACATCCTACACCCACCCACCCACTAGCAACTCATCCTTTTTGTGGTCTATAAGGGGTGACGGCCTATTTCACACTTTTATAGAAAATTTTTGCCAATTGTCTGGCGACGTTTGCCTGTTTTTTTTTCTTATATACATCTCGCTTCGGGTTTTACCCGCTCGCTGCGGAAGTTTGCGCAATTTCCAAAGCGGAAATGCAATTTTCGGTTCAGCTGCATTTGTCTCGCAGTGCCACGCCCCCTGCCCGCGGTCCGCCGCCAACTTGGGCGGCTTGCCAACACATCGTATATCAAATGCAGAGTTGGCAGCCCCTGACAATGACATGCAGCGAGCGCTCAGCCAAACCAGAAAAGGCCGACAGCTTTTTGGGGGCGCTCAGGATAAAGGTTGGTGGGGTAATGGCTGGCTGTGATGTGGTTGGCCTTCCAATAGGTGGGGGCCTTCGAAGGACACCAAAAAAAAAAGAAGAAATAAATGCAGCCAAACTCCTGAAATCGGCGGCCGCTGTAGCGTGTGTCACGCCTTTTGTGGCCAGAAACGAAGAATATATTTCACACGCTTTTTGCTCGCTTTCTGCCAAAGCTCTCTTTGTGCCGAAAGTACTTTTATTTATTTGCATATAAATTATTCAATTGTTCCCTTGCTTATCTTTCTTGTTGGCTGGGCCTGGCCGCTTCTGACCCCCCAGCGGGGAGTCTATCAATGTGCCGAATGCATTTGCAATTGCAATCGCAATTGATTTTTGATATCTGTGGGCGTGGCATTGAACAATTTTTGATTTACGATACTGAATTTGGCTAAAGTTGGCCAGAATTCACAATTGGCATGGCAAAAATGAACGGAGTTTAAACGGAGTTTACACAGGGAAATGTTAAATAAAAGATAAACTTTATTCTATAATATAAAAATAACTTTAATCTTAAATGAAATATGTAAGTATTTCTTTTTACAGAAGCCATTAAACTTAAATCTGCTTTCTTAGTGCTTGGTTCAAGAAAAATCATAATTTCTTTACTATTTTTTTCAGTGTTTAGCTTGCTGTCTTTAAAATTGCATTTAAGAATACTGCTGAGCTCACTTATTGATTTTAAGATTTATGACTTAAAGGAGTTTGCTTAATCTTTAGATAAAGTTGAACGCATTTCTGGTAATTGATAATATATAACTTATCAAAAGGTGGAGCTCAAAGTGAGCTCAATTATTCATCGTTTAGTAAATTAATTTGGATCAAAATTTAGTGTTTGATTTATACTTTCACATATTATTATTATAATATTAAAATTTATGGAATTATCGTCGAAAATTGAAGTTTGTTGACCACTTTTAAGACTGTTAAATAGAATATAATCTAAGATAGAACATAGATCTTGATCTTGCTTATACAGACTCAAGTATCTGTCCAAATATTAAACATTTTCCCGATTTCTGAAATATCTTACGTATAGAATAGAATACCTTATCAATAGATAGGCTACCAAGAACCTCTATTAACATTTTCATAGCCAGTCTCCTAAAAACTTTTTGATTGTCTGTCGATATTTTTTCGATTTCCCTTCGACACGTGTGCTAAACTGTTTGTCGGCACGGCACCTCCTACTTATTCGCCCGCCTTGCAAATGTCAAGTGTCAACTGCAGCTTGTTCGGAGTTCCCAGTTTGCTGTTCTCAGTTCGCAAAAAACGTGCTCCTCGACTGGCTGGGCAAACATTTGCAAGGCTGTTATTTTTCGCCCTGCGAAAACACGCTTCAATAACATTCAAAACTCGAGACGTGCGAGGCCTTGGCCTGTCACCGAAAAAGACTCGTATCTCCTAATATCTGCTGGGCGCTACATGTGTTGTAAATTTATTAGCTGTCATATAAATCTTTGCACTTGGGCACCCTTATGCCAGAATTAGAGGGGCGTGGCGTCTGTTTGAGGGCAGATAAGGTATACGTTTGTATGTGTTAGGGGAAGAACCCTTCTACTGTAAAATGCCAGCATTTTTCATTTGCATGAATATTTTACTTAAGGAAATTCATAATTTTTTATGCGAGCCCTTGGTAAGAGTCTCGTCACACCGACTTAATGCCAGGGTTGTCACTCTCATTTGTTTAATTAATATTGTCCCTAAGCGGAGGCCCATTTAGGCATTTATTTGCAGACAGTCACATGTGCACTTTTCTGGGGTCTTGTCAGCAATTTGCAAAGTGCTGCGTGGGCGAGGGCTGAGATTTTCCGAGTCTTGTTTAATTGAAATCACAATGTTAAAAATATAGTAAAAATGTTCTTTCGTCTTAATTAAGGACTTATGACACTCTTCTATGGTTAAGATAACTTTTTTATTTTCTCCAAAGGCAAGAAAAATCGGTTAAAGGTTTTTTATTTAGCAATAAAGTTGAAATTTATTTAAACTTCTTACAGTTTCATAGAGTTTAAAATATTTTTATTAAATGCATTGTTTTAAATATGTTACATAAATAGACAATAATTACTATAGCATTATATTTTGGCACGCTTTTCCTCCCCTTTCCTTTGCTTAACTAACGCTTTCACTGCGCCTCCGTTTGCTCAGCCGTCTTGAGGGGATTCCCCTTGTCATCGATTTCCATGGAAGGCACCAAAGGGGGCTTGAAACCGTATTCCAGTTGAAGGTTACGCCCAAAGTCTGGACTACGTTTAAGGGAATGCCCATTGCGCCATCGCTGAAACTCATCGAACTCGTTGGTGAGCGAGGAATCCCCGTTGCCAGAGTTGCCAGTGCTTGTGGCTGGAATGGCGCCAATGTAGGTCTTAACCATTTGAACGGGGGCCGAGGCAGCGGCGGTGGCCAAGTCGGCGGGGAGGGTGTTGTAAATATAACGGGCACCCTGCAACCAAGGCGATCCCTGCGGCGGTGGCGGAGGTCGAAGGTCGAATTTCATATCCGCCAAACTGAAAGTGGCGACCTTGGGCGCCTCTCCCCTCACGGGCTTCACCGGCTGCTTGACAGCTGCCACCGGCTTACTCAGCTTGACCGCTTTTGTGGAAGGCTGGGCAGGGGTTTTGGCCGTCAGTTGTGGGAGCAACTTCTTCAGCATCCTGGTGTAGTAGTTCTGCAGCACCTTCGGTGGAATGTGGGCCACTGAATGAGACCAGGGAGTCAGAGCATTGGGGTGGCCATGATGAGAAAATGCCAGTGAGGAGTGTCCTGGCGGCATGGGCATATGAATGGCCACGGGTACATGGATCGGAATGGCCATTGGGCGGTCAACGAATTTCTCCACAATCTTCTCCACATGCACTGGTTTCTCTACGATGCGCTCCACCTCGACGGGCACATGCTTCTCCACAATCTTCTCCACCACCCTCTCCACGGGATATGGAACAGGGTGTTCGACTATCGTCTCAACAGGATAAGGTCGATCCACGTAGTGCTCGACGTGGACGGGAACGGGTACGGGTTGTGGCACGGCATACGGAATGGGTATGTGCTTCTCCACCACATGATGGTCGTGCTCTACGCCTTTTTCCACATGATAAGGTGGCAGAGAGGGGGAATGATCATGATGATCGTGCGGGATATGAGGTTCATGTTCAATCTCATGAAGCACCTGGTGATTCTGATGATTCTCCTGGTGCTGCACCTGATGTTCGTGATGATCAGCTGGATAAACAGGACCTGGGTGAACGGTTTCCTGAATGGGTCCTGGAGCAGATGGTCCCGATTGATGGGAATCCA